CCGGGCTCAAACAGGAGAGCCGGGCTCAAACAGGAGAGCCGGGCTCAGGGAGCAAAGCCGGGCTCAAACAGGAGAGCCGGGCTCAGAGAGCAAAGCCAGGCTCGGAGACCAAAGCTGGACTCAGAGAATAAAGCCAGGCTTGGAGAGCAGAGCTGAGCGCAAGGAGCAGAGCCTGACTCAGGGAGAAAAGCCGGACTTGGGGAGCAAATCCAGGCTTGGAGAGCAACACCAGGCTCAATGAGCAAAGCTGGGCTCAGAGAGGAAAGCCCAACTTGGGGAGCTGAGTTGCACCTGGGGAGAAAAGCAGGCTCAGGGAGCAAAGCCCGTCTCAGGAGCCGAGTCCCACTTGGGGAGCAAAATAGGCTCAGGGAGCCAAGCCAGACTCAGGGAGCCAAGTTTCACTTGGGGAGCAAAACCCCGCTTAAAGAGAAGCCAAGCCCCACTGATGGAGCCAAGCCCTGCTCAGGGCCCCCAGTCCTGTTCAGGGAGTGCCCAGCATCACCCTCGTAACCCCCCTTCCTTGGCATCCTTGTCCTCTCCCAGGTGACTCATCCTGTGCTCCCACTGCAGCCCCTGCTCTGCTCCCCAGGAGGGACTCATGTCTTTACCTGGTCTGTGATCACCTGCTGCTGACACTGCACCGAGTCTGGGCTTAACTTTATATTAAGTGTCAAAAGCCACTTCATAACACCACTTTAAGTGGAACCCCTCCAAGTTTGACCTTGTGTCACGCTCCTAAACCTTTTCCCAACAGAAAAGCATCCCAGCTCTGGGCTCCACGCAGGGCTGAGGTGCCTGCAGCCAGCACTCCCTGTGCCCTCTTCCCAAGGCCAATCCCGAGCTGCTCCCAGCCTCATTCTGCACCATATAAGGGCTGGATCCAGCTGGATCCTTTCATTGACTGCACTGGAACTGGCTCAGCGAGGAGGCAGTGAAGCATCACACCCTGTATTATCTACCAAATTAGACAAAAAGACGAGGAGTGACTCATTTCAGCCTTTCTCATCTCCCCAGGCAGTTCTTCTCTCCCTCTCCCTCCCAGACACACACGTTTATATTTCACCCAGTGCTGTAGCACTGGGAACTTTGCAGAGATCTGCTGCTTCACACGAGGCAGCACAGCTCCCATCTCTGTGTTTGCCCTTCAGGACTGCTCCCAACCCAAGCTCTCACAGGGAAAGGACTGGGATTTGGCACAAAGCTGGGATCAGGGCACTGATCTGCTCTGGGCACTGCACCCCCTTCCCTGCTCTGTCTCATCCTCCCACAGCACCACACCTCCCTGCCCTCAGAAAGGCCAAATTTTGGCTGCTTCTTTGCTCTCTGCTGACTAAGTTTCCTTCTAATCTCAATAAAGCCTCCAGGATTTGAGCCCGACTAACGCAGATAAATCATTGTCTTTGGCCTGAAGAGTCAGCCAATTTAGCCTTGGCAGATTTGCTCCCTCAGAGGTCACTGAGAAGCCGAGAATTACTAAAGGCACTTGCTTTTTCTTGGCTATGTGGTCAAAATCAAGTCCCTTGGTGACACTCTAACACCTGCTGTTCTTTTATGAGGGAAAGGGCTGTGCTTCTGGGAAGAGGTAGGTTCCTGTGGTTTACGAGGCTTTTTCTCCCTCTGATGTCACTGTTATCCTAAAAACCCCCGAGTGACACTGACAACCACACTAAGGAGCTTTTGGGGGTTCACTGGATGTCCAGCCAAATGTCCAGCTCTCAGCTCCTTGTCTCTTCTTACTGACAATTTCACTAATTTCTTGCTGCAACTGTATTAATAATTAAAAATTTTACTATCCCATCATTGAAAAGAGCAGATACTGAATCTCTGCTTTCAACTTTCTTGAAAAAACACCACAAACCTCTCTAGATGCTGGGTGGCTTTCCAGGCTGGGAGATCTACTTCTCCATCAGTTGTATATGCTGATGTCTGATACACAGCCTGTAGTTAATCCCGGGCCTGGATCTGCAACTGAGTGAGGAATTTGTGGGCTAGGACAGGGAATGCCTGAAGTGGGCAAAGTTTGGGCATTTCTGAGACAGATCTTGAAGTTTTTTCCTGGATTCCAACTCCAAGTAGACCATTGAGAATCCCCTGACTGATGTGGTTTTGTGGACACCTGAAATGCCAATGGGTTGTTGGAGTCTTACCCAAAAAATTTAATTAATTCATTTGCACCTGCAGAAAAAGGGAAAGAAACTGGTGTGCTCTGCCAATGGTGGCCAAATTAAAGACTCCCAGAGGCTTTTGCTGCCACAGTTATTTCTCCTTCTCTATGGGAAGAAACATGTTGGAAAGCTTGATAGAAGAGAAAGTGAAGACCTTCAGCACCACCAAGCCAAGCAATGGAGTGGAGCATCCCTCTTCCCAAGGCAAATCCCTGGTGCCAGGGGCCACATCCTGCCCTTAGGAATTCAGCTGTAATGCACAGGCAATAGAAGCACAGACCCAGGGAGGGGGAATTCACAGTCTTCTTTGCCACTTCAGTGGCAGCGGAGGCAAATTGGGTCTCTGTGGTTGCTTCAACTGCAGCGAAAGTCTTGTGCTTTGGAGAGGCTCCTTGTCAGCATCCTCCAAACTACAAAGTGTCACCCTGGTAACTCCTAATCCTGCCTCAGCACGGCTTGTTCCGCGCACTCTCTCATCTGCGGAGTTTAAAGGATGGAGCTGTCACTGGGGAAACGTTCTGACTCCGACATTCCTGAGGCAGACTGACAGAGCAAACAGAGTTCATTAAAGCCCTGCAAGGTGCTGGGATTCCTGTTTATATGGCAGTTTCAAACTAGATGTTTGTATACAGACGGTTCCTGCAATTAGATCAGGGTAGGAATATTGTCCCTGCCCTGTGGTGGGTGGGAAGGAGTGTGAGGTGCTTTATTTCCCATCCTTGCCTTTAGGCTTTCGGGGACACCCTGCATTTGTAACCAAAATAAGAAAGCAGACACCAGCCATTTACTGTTTAATAAATATCAGATATGCCCTGAAAAGCTGGACTTCAGCTCTCTGCATCCCCTTTCCCAGGATCTACAAAGCCTGGAGACCCTCAAAAACTGGCTGAAATGTCACCAGGACAGGGAATGTTTCTCCACAGGCTGGAACTGCAGCTCCTCTCACTGCATCCAGACCAGGGGGATGCTTTGCCACTCCCACAGTCCCTGCAGCATCTCCACTGTCCTCCCTGACTTCATTAGGAGTTTCACAGCTTATGGATTTCCTCTTTCTTCTAGGAAGATCCATTTCCTATATGCCATCCCATCATATTTGGATAAATCTTTGCAGAGATACTACCTGAAAGCAGGAGTGTGTCCACAGAGCCGTCTGTGCATCCCTCCAAGCCTCAGCCCCCTGAACAACCACCTCCCTCCTGTGACCTTCAGATGTTCGAGGCACGAGCAGTGACCTGGTTCTCTTTCCAAAAGGCCTCTGAAAACAGGAGCCTGATTTCACCTGGTGCAGAAGTGCCTTTTTTTAGAAACTCCCTCGGAAATACTAATTTCAAAGGTTCTGATTAAAGTATTTTGTTGCCTCTATCAAGGTGATTTTTCTTCTTTGTGAGCTTCTGTCTGCAGTTTTTTTGAGCACTTGCAGAAGTGGTGGCCACCTCTAGATGGTGTGTTTTACTCAGAAGAACTTTGTGCCTGGCTCTTTACATAACTTCTGCTCCTTGTCTGAGGTTGCAAACCCTCTCCAACCAAACCACACAGATTTTAGTATTTCCTTGTTTTCTTGACTGGAGAGTCTGGCTGCACAAATGCAAAAATAATAAAAATATGTTCCTTATATACTTAAAAAAGATGTATTATATGGCACATTTTGTTGGACCTGTGAGGTATCTACTATGTGGGGTATCTACTGCCTAACTGATGGCATTGCCTGTCTTCTGGGTTCATTACTGTGCTAATTCATTTGAAACAGAATCTTTTTTTTTTTTTCAAATTACAACTCTCTGCTCTTGTTCTTGAATGGAAAGGAAGAGGGAAGGAACAAACACGGATAATACCACAAGGCTAAAATGATGGTGGTGTTGCCATAGCTTACTCCATCCACAGTATTTGTACTTCTTTTCTCTGGACAGCATTTCCCTGCTTGAAGGAACAAGGTCATTTAACCCAAGATAATTTAACCCCCCCAAGATAATTCAACCCCCTCAGTTCTGGTCACTTTAGCAACACAGTGAGGAGGACATAGAGAATTAATATCACTAGTTTGGGGCTGGGCATAAGGGCCACCTGGTTTTGCTGGGTTTTGTTGTGAGTTCTATTTTACTTCATTTTATTTTTAAGAAATTGAAAGAACATGTAGTTGTCTTCACTGTTCTTGGGCGTAGGAATGGTACGGTCAAATTATGCACGAGCAGAAAAGACACCAACCTGCTTGCACCATCCAGCTGCAATGTACAGAGAGGAATCAAAATAGAATAAATGATTAAAAAAAAATAAATTAGATCAAAAAATCTGCTGGGCTTTCATAAGCTAAAATGTTCTTCATAACACAGCGAAGGAAATTGCTTGTGCCGACTTCAATGGGTCCAAGATTTCCTCCATGATTTCTAACCTGAAACTGCTGCTTTTAGAAGACTATAAAAAGGCCTTGTATGGAATCAACCCTTCCAGTGCATTATGAGTAATATCTCCTGCTCCTGTTTTACATCTCAGCTCAGCGACGGAACTTTCTTGTAAATAAGGGTTATTTCCACTAAAAGGCTGTTATGAAGTTCT